ACCCGGGAAAACCAGGCAGTCCCATCGCATTGCGGCTCTCGCAGGTTTCACTGTGTATGTCGTTACTGTGTGCCCTCAAGTCAATTCCAACTCATAGCGACCCTATAGGACAGAGTAGAACTGCCCCATCGGGTTTCCCAGGCTGAAATCTTTACAGGAGCAGATCGCCAGGTCTTTTCTCCCATAGCTGCTGGTGGGTTTGAACCGCTGACTTTTTGGTTAGCAGCTGAGTGCGTAACCATTACGCCAGCAGGGCTCCTTCCTAATATGTACATGCCTATATATACTGCCTACTGAATACATGGAGTCCCTGGGTGGGGCCAACGGTGAACATGCTTGGGTGCTAACTGAAAGGTTGGCGGTTCAAGCCCACTCAGAGATACCTCGCAAGAAAGGCTTGGCGATCTACTAAAAAAATCATCCACTGAAAACTCTATGGAGCACAGTTCTCCCCTCACACACATGGGGTCACCATGAATCAGAATCAACCCGACGGCAGCTGGGTTTCTTACTGGATTCATACATACACACACGGAGACAGCTTTGGACTCTACAGACAAAAATATTCACTGTTCAAGCATCCGTGAAACGTGACAAATTGATTTGCATGCATTAAACACCAGCTTTTCAGTGAGCATTTTATATTGTGTACCACTGTACTGTACGAAGAAGCCCTGGTGGCGCAGTGCTTAAGCGCTTGGCTGCTAACTGAAAGGTCGGTGGTTCAAACCCACGAGCCACTCCTAGGGAGAAAGCTGCTCCAGCCTTGGACACCCTACGGGGCAGTTCTCCTCTGTCCTACAGGGTCGCTGTGAGTCGGAACAGACTAGACATCAACAGGTTTTTTGGCGTGGTGTGAGGGTGGTTCTTTCTGGGGGTGATTCTGCCCCCCAGGGGACATTGGTTGATGTCTGGGGACATTTGTGGTTGTCATGACTGGGGGACTGCTACTGGCATGGAGTGGGCGGAGGCCAGGGATGCTTCTCAACACCCTATAGTGCGCAGGCCGGCCCCACTCCAGAGAAGGATCCAGGCCCCATGTCAGCAGTGCCAGGCGGGGGTGGGGAACGCTACCCTACAGAAAAAGAGACTCACATTTCAGGAGTAAAAAGCAACTTTTCACGGGCACTACAGAGGCAGCCGGGAAGGAAGAGCCTGCGCAGACCACAAACAGGACCAGACTCCAGAGCCAGCCTCGCCAGAAATAGGCTCTGGGACCCCCATTGGGTCACTGTCCCCCACCACCGGGAAAGTGGCATTAAAAATCCCCACCAGGCTGCCCTCCTGGGCCCCACAGTCTAATAGGGGGAGAGATGAGGACCAAATAAACTGCAATTAATATGGTCAGCCTAATGGGGCATTGATGGTTCAGGGGTGCAATTCTCCCCTTCCATGCAGGGGCCCGGCCAATGCATCTCATGCACAGCCACCACCCGTCTGCCAGTGGGGGCTTGCAGGTTGCTACGATGATGAACAGGTTTCAGCAGAGCTTTCAGACTAAGACAGACTAGGAAGAAAGGCCTGGAGAACAACTTCTGAAAATCAGCCAGTGAAAACCCTATGGATCACAATGGTCCCATCCACAACCAAGCTACCCCACAGGTGCCTGCAGCTCTGGGAGGTGGTGGACGAAGGACAGCATGGGCCAGGCTGCTTCAAGCGACCATAACAAGCCCCACCTGGTCACAAACACTGGCGTCAAAGCCGCTCACTAAGCAGCCTGGCTTCCTGGAGGCTGGAGGTGGGGGCCAGGACTGTGCGCCAAAGGGGTGAGCCCCACTGCAACCCCACAAAGGAGCCACGTGGGTGCTAACCCAGGAGTCTTCCCTCCTTGGAGCTCCAGGAGCCGGAAGCAGTTGAGCTCCGGCCTGCAGGGGAGGGGGAGGAAAGAATTCCAGGAAAAAGCAAGGCCTGGCTCCTGCTCCAGTGCGCAGGGGACTCTGTGGCCTCAACGCGGAGGTCCCCAACGCCCGTTTGCTACAGAAATGGAGCCCAACAGCTCCCCCAAGCTGGGCCAACCTCCGTGCAACCCTCAAGGTTCTCCCTGCAAAATGGGGACCATCACTCCTCCACGGCCCACTTCCTGGGAGTGGGATAACTTCCTGGAAGCAGGTGGTGCAAAGAGTTAACACACTCGGCTGCCAGTTGGAAGGCTGGAGGTTTGAGTCCAACCAGAGGCACCTTGAAAGAAAGGCCTGGTGATCTGCTCCTGAAAGATCAGCCGCTGAAAACCCTATGGAGCACAGTACTACGCTGACACACACGGGGTCCTATGAGTCAGGGGGTTAACTCACAGCAATTGCTCTTAAGCAGGGGAAGGGCTGAGTTCCCTGCCCTGCACCCTCCAGCCCCACCCCCTGGACCTCTGGGCATTAAAATCCAGCAAGGGGTCCTCAATCTGGGATACAATGTATTTCAGATGTGAATTTTTCAGACAGTGAGGGATCACAGGTTCCCTTTGAGTCCCAAGAAGTGACATCACCACAGGGATCAACCCTCAGGGCTCAGTCCCAAGGCACCTCCTCCAGGAAGCCCTCCCAACCCCACAGCACACTGCTTGCACCTCTGATGGGCATTGACACCTGTCTTCCTTGCCTCCCTGAGTGACGCAAAAGGTCAGTGGTTCAAACTCACCCAGAGGCTGCCCCGGAGAAAGACCTGGCAATCTGCTCCTGTAAAGATTGCTGTCGTTGTTGTTAGGTGCCCTCAACTCATAGCAATCCCATGTGTTAGAGTGGAACTGCTCCATACGGGTTTCTTGCCTGTAATCTTTACAGAAGCAGATCATCAGGCCTTTCTTCCGCAGTGCCATTGGTAAGTCTGAACCACTAACCTTTAGCTTGGTAGTCAAGCACAAACTGAAAGGTTATAAAGTAGGCCTTCCTTAAGGACGTCAGCCTGAAAAACTCCACGAGGTAGTTCTACTGTCACATGGGGTCACTATGACTAGAAGGCCCCATAGGGTCGCTGTGACTGGAAGCCCACATGGGGTCGCTATGACCGGAAGGCTGACTCAGCGGCGCCCAGCAGCAGCATTTGCTGAACACCTTCTCTCTAGCCCAGGTGGGGAGGGGGCAGGAGGGTCACCGAGGGCAGAAGAAACAAAGCCTCCACTAAGACCTGCCAACTTCCCAGTGGCCAGCCAGCAAGGCGCTCGTTCACCATCAGATACAGCTCCTCCAAACCGCGGCCACCATCCTCCAATGCACTCCCCTCCCTGACGCCCCCTCCTCCCTCCCTCGGCCGTGACAGCCACCTTGGAGCGGCAGGCACCATTCCCAAGTGGCCCCAAGGTTCCGGAGCTAAACTAGGGGGCGAGGGCTTCTGTTGTGTAAACGACCTTCCTGCCTGCCTTTGACGGCAAAGGCAGGTCCTTCAACAGCCCTTATTTGGGGTGACAACACTCTGCAGACAGCCTGGCCAACTTGCTACCTGTAACAGGTGAGCCTCAGGGAAAGGAAGCCCTGGACATGGATCTTCCCCCCCCGAGAAGGAGGACCAGGGAGGACACGGGCGGGGGTCTGACTAGCTGGCTCCACACCCCAGCTCCCCCCAAGACTTTAAGAAAAGGAGGTTGAGGGTGCAGGCTGGCAAACGAGTTGGCCCATTCTGAAAACTCCCAGAGGTGCCTTCAGGTATCAGCCCCGCCCCCCAGCCTCCAGCCAAAACAGGGAAACCCCAAGAAGAGAGGAAAGCTTTCCTCACACCCTGCAGGGGGAGATTTTTCCTGGAGAGGGAGTGGAGGCAGGGGAATGGCTTTGAAGTGGAGGGGGCGCAGAGGTATCTGGAGGGGGACGGGCCCTGTGTGTAGGGGACAGGGCTCCACGTGGTGCGGAAGAGTCCAGCCGGGATCCTGGGGGTTGAGGGGTGAGTCACGTGGATTATGGCCCTTCAGTGGTGTTGCGGGGGGCACCCAGAGAGCCAGCCCTGTGCGTACAGAGAGCTCATCCTGGGAGAAGAGGCAGGGCTGACCCCAGAAGGTCCTGGGGGCGCAGCCTGGCCAGCTGAGGCAGGGGGCTGACCCCGGAAGGTCTGGGGGTACACCCTAACCAGCAGAAGCAGGCTGGCCCCAGACGGTTTGGGGGTGCACCCTGACCAGCAGAGGCAGGCTGGCTTTGGAGGGTTTGGGGATGCACCCTGGCCAACAGGAGCAAGGCTGACCCTGGAAGGTTTGGGGATGCACCCTGGTCAGGAGGCAGGCTGCCCCAAAGGGCTTGGGAGCACACACTTGCCTGGAGAGGTAGGGCTGACCCCGGAAGATTTGGGGGTGCACCCTGGCCAGCGGAGGCAGGGATGTCCTGGGGGTCCTGGGGGTCCAGCCTGACATGGGACTCTGGAGTGCGCCCTGGCCAGCAGAGGCAGGGCTGGCCCCAGAGGTTTGGGGGCACACTCTGGTCAGGAGGCTGGCTGGCCCCAGGGGGTCTGGGGATGTACCCTGGCCAGCAGAAGTAGGGCCGATCCCAGAAGACTTGGGGGTGCACCGTGACCAGTGGGGGCAGGGCTGACCCCAGGTGTGCTGGAAGCCCATCCTGATCGTGGGATCCTTGGGTGCACCCTGGCCAGCAGAGGCAGGGATGGCCTAGGAGGGATTCGGGGGCACACCCTGGCCAGCAGAGGCAGGCTGCCCTGGAGATTTGGGATGCACCCTGGCCAAGAGGAAGGCTGCTCCGGAGGTTTGGGGCGCAATCTGGCTAAAGAGAAAGCTGCCCCGGAGGTTTGGAGCACACCCTGACTAGGACGCAGGCTGCCCTGGCGGTTTTGGGGACGCACTCTAGCCAGCAGAAGTAGGCTGCCTTGGAGGTTTGGGGCGCACTCTGGCCAGGAGGCAGGCTGCCCCGGAGGTTTTGGGGAGCAACCTGGCCAGCAGTCAGGCTGCCCCGCAGGTTTGGGGCGCACCCTGGCCAGCAGGCAGGCTGCCCCAGAGGTTTGGGGCGCACCCTGGCCAGCAGGGAGGCTGGCCAGGGCAGCAGCGTACGGACAGGCCCGGCCGCCCCACTCACCAAGCAGCAGCAGCTTGAGCTCACGCCGGGCGTCGCGCTTGTCCCGCCGCAGCTGCTTCTCGATCTCGGCGTTGATCCGTTTGGATTCCTTCACCTCATCGCTCAGGCAACACGCCATCATGGACTCCAGAGTCA